ACCTTCCATGTAATCCTAACATGAACCCCTTCTAATTCTAACACTAAACTTCCACGTAATCCTAACATGAACCCCCTTTAATCCTAACACTAAACTTCCACAAAATCCTAACATGAACCCCATAATCCTAACACAAACAATTACATGGGGTGTTTGTGTTAAGGTTACAGGGAGGGTTAGGGTTATAATTACAGGCAGGGTTAGTATTGGTGATACAGGGAGGGTTAGTATTAGGATTACAGGGAAGGATAGTATTTAGGACTACATGGAAGGATAGTGTTATCCGTTATCCTAACACTAAAAGGTGCCCATACACCTTATAATTTATCTGCAGATTTTCTGTGGTCAGATGGAGAAAGTGCAGCAGATTGGCCCAGGTGGAGATTCCTCCATCCATACAGTTTAGCATAGATGGAGGAATCTGTTGCACCTTTTCCATCTGACCACAGAAAGTCTGCAGATCATCTATAGGTGTATGGCCAGCTTTACTCTCCCTGTAATAATAAAGAAGCACAGATGGCAGGCTGACAATGTTGGTGCTCATTGAGAGGTTGTGGCATAGCATTGTTACCCTGTAACAGGAAGTGCTGTTACTGGCAGGACCTCCAGGTAAGAAACTTTAAAACAGATTCCTGAACAAAGATTTGCTTATAATAAGAATATATAGTGAGACCTGATACCAAACATACTGGAAAAGGACGTAGAGTTACATACACTTTAAAGTTTGCAGTGCGACTTACTGCTCTGCATAAACAGCCCTTAGAGGCATAAGCAGGCGCTCTAAATATGTTCTGTTCTGATAAACTGAAATTTTGGCATATTTATCCCTGCGACTTCTTAAAACACTTTTATATAATCCGGTTAATGAACATTATGTTATTTGTATACACTGGCTCGACAAAGTAAAACAAAACACATCAAAGGATACTGACCTCATTTTCACAGCTATAGCCCAATAAAGGTCCCCTTAAGGCATAAGACAGCATGAATTATGTCTGATTTCTGCTGAATTGACCGAAATTTGAACTGTGGGACCTGGAATATTGTCAGCTCAACAGTGACTGCATCCTATTAGGCGCAGTCACTGTTCGGCAGCACCATTGTATTCAGGCATCTGTGGTGCCATTAGCATGGACCGGGGAATTAACCGATTTTCTCCCATCAGCCTGTGCACTGCTGAACGACAGAAAATCTAGCCATGTATGGCCAGCTTTACAATGGTGTGCATACTCGGACAATGCTAGGAAAGCCAAATAGGGAGGATATTGATCCTTTATAGGTGCCTCTGCACAGTTACAATATCTAAAGACTAAGGGGGTTATTCACAAAGCCGCCAAAGGCAGACGAGTGAATAACCCAGCTGAAGTGAGACGAACGCTGTTCGGCTATTCACTTCTGGCTTGTACGGCTGATTTCAGCCATACATCGGCTGCCTTTGGTCAGCCGAACATGCTCTGCATGTTCGACTCAGCCGATCCAACATTTGGATCAGCTGAGCCGAAGCTCAGGCAGCTCACTTGCTGCCGTTCGCCCCTATAGGGGCTGAACGGCAGTAAGTGAATAGCCGAATGCTGCCGGTACCTCCAAGGTAGCGGGCAGAATAGAAAAAAACCAGACGAACTCCTGCCGCATAAAGAAGCATGTGCCAGATGCTAGCAAAATAAAAACAATTGGGCGGAGCTAGCGGTGACATCACTGCTGGCTCCGCCCAACTGTTTCCTATTGGCCGCACCTGCCAGAGTCTTCTAGCAGGTTCCGGCCAATAAATAACAACTGGGCAGAGCCGGCCGTGACCTCACAGCCGGCTCCGCCCAGTTGCTATTGCATAATGACAGATCAGCGTCCCCATGTCATTTGGGAGCGCTGATCTGTCATTAAAACTGGGCGGAGCGAGCCGTGAGACCAGACTGTTTCCAGACCCAAAATGCATCCCAATGCTATTTCTGGCCTCTGTTCCCACCAGCGCAGTCTGTTCCAGACCAGACCAGACAAATACTGCTTGTCCTATTTTGTCTGGTCTGGAATGCACTGGAACGCATCAAAAACGCACCTGTAAGATCATTTTAAGCTAAATTTCCAATCGCTGCAAAATCACAGCAAAAACGCAATGCACTATGTTCCAGATCTGGTCCGGAAAATGTTGTGAACCCAGCCTAAGAGTGGACACCCAGATCATCACACCCAATTTGTGAATGGTTCTAATTACACTTAGGCCTTGTTCACATCAAGCGCGGAGCAGGTGCAGAGCAGAGCAGAGCAGTTGCAGACCGGAGCAAAACTGCGTCCAATGTATTCCAATGGTATTTTTAGCTCCAGTTCACATCGCAACGTGCAGTTCCAGAGCAGGTAAAAAAACTGCAGCAGGCCCTATTTTACCTGCTCTGGAACGCATCAAAAACGCATGCAAATGCCTGGAACGTACTGAAAGCCCATGTTAAACTATAACGCATCAAAAACCCGGCACAACCCACTGCACTGCGTGCGCAGAAACCTGAGCGGATCTGCTCTGCATTTGGTGTGAGCAAGGTCTTAGTGTAGCAGAAGAAATGTGGTCTCCAAAGAAAAAAAAACCCCAATGTCATGGTCAACGCCAGGTTTTACAGCACTGGGGAACAATACAGTGTTGTAGAGTCGGTATCCTCTGTCCTGTTACCAAAATGTCATTAAGCTGTGCATCTCATACATACAGATAAAGATATACCTGTGATGACAAGTTATCCTTTGTACAGTATAACTCCGCCATAATCTGAGCCTGCCACTGGTCAAACGCAGTGAGCTGCACCCCTGTGACGCGGAACTCCTTCTCAGCCAGCTTCTCTAGCCCCTGGATATAGGCAGGTGGGGACCCTTGCAGCGCCCCGGCCGGGAAAAGCAGGCAGGTCGTCTGGCACAGGGCGCTGATGAACAGCAAACCTAGAAAGCAAACGCAAAACACATTATTCCAGCCACCTAATCTCGTGTCAGCATTAGAAGCAAATGCTACCTCCTGATGCATCATTCCAATGTCATTGTTCTATAATTGTTCTAATTGACTTCTTCGTAGCAGAAAATACCGGGTAGATGTGATATCTGACAATGGTGTCACGGCATCTGCCTGTCACATGTAATTTATAGAATCATTTAAGAGTGTAACTTCTTGATTAATTTATGTTCAATATTGACAAGATCGAATAATTATTATGTAGAGAATCACACGATGTAGGCACAACAATTAGATAAAGACGGCGACAACATCACACTTGAATGACACTTCTGTTCTGCTGGAATTTGGGCGCGTACATGTGTCATTAAAGAGACCCTGTTCACCGGACCATTCATTTCAACAACAATCTACCCATAAGATTATATAAGCATTTGACGTATTTTGGGCATGTTATTGAACTGCAAAAGCCTCCCTTGTGTAGACATCCAAAAGCCCCAAGACTGTTGCTGGGTGCCGCCATCTTGGATGTGATGTCAGCAGCCACAGCAGACCCAGAGCTGTCACTCATGTGACACACTATAGTATTCCTCCTCTGGCAGCTATATAACAGGTTATGTAGGGAGGTGAGGGGTGAAGGAGCTAGGCCAGCACAGTTAGCAACTAGACCCTGCAAAACTGCATGCACTTGATAACAGAGTAGTGCCATGTGATGTGCCATTCAGCTATGAGTAAGTTGCAGTATGTAAAATTACAAAGAGACTTTTACCGCTCCGTCCTGACTCAGGCTCCACCAGCCGTGTGCACTGCATGTGGTGACTGGGAGCCAGCCACTCCCCTCAATCACACTGTCCAGAACTGTCTCTACGACTAAGCCAGTATGGGTGAAACATGTTAGCGGTGGGCGATCATCAGAAGTGGACTATGCCATGCTGGCTGATGGATTTTAAGAAACTACATGTAGAGTGAAGATAGCGATGTGTAAGCTGCAGCTTGAGCTACAGAGCACTGTAAATATCAGGCTTTTCCCAACACACAGCTAAATCTTCTCTAAAAGACACATGGAAATGAGACAACAGCTCCACCTTCTGGCTAGAAGAGGAATACAAAACATTAGTATGCAATATTTTATATTATGAAATTAATTATAAAAGCCGCGCTTCATACGTTATATCTGACCACACAGATTTCAGCTGCTGCTTAACTTGACTAGAGTAGTGGCGCGAGGTTTCACATCATTCAATATTTTATATTAACCTAAAAAAAGAACTGGGAATAATGGCAGTGATATCTCGCTGTTGGAGTATCCAAAATAAATAAGAAGCCAGGAGCTGACTCAGCCCAACAAACTCTACTTTGAACAAAAACACCCATTTTAGGTGGACCAGCCCTTTAAAATCTACGATGGGGTAGGCAAACTTGGCACTCCAGCTGTGGTAAAACTTCATATCCCATCATGCTTCTGCCTCTGGGAGTCATGCCTGTGACTAATAGACTCTTGCAATGCCTCATGGGATTTGTAGTTTCACCACAGCTGGTGTCGAATTTGCCTACCACTGATTTACGACATCAAAATCAGGAGCTCTGAACTCATTGGCTACATACTCATCCCATGTCAGTGACCCCCAGTGTACTAAAGCCAGAGGATCAGTATGAGAGCCCGGCATTTTCCCGAGGAGGTCAGCAATTGCAGTATACGTATCTCTCTCGCTGGAAAATTCATTCTGGCTTATGTAGTATTTCCCGAGGATGAATTCACGGTAAGATGTGATCGAATGTCGGAAGTTTAATTTATTATCTCTGCGTTAGGTTTTGCGCCTGATCGTATTTGTATCAAAATCCCAGAATTATCATAGAGATCAAAAATAATTTACTGCGACTTGATTTCTCAGCACGCAATACGCTACATGAAAAACTGACGATTTAATTATTTAGCGGTACCACATTTCCCGGAGATTGTGCTGGGTAAACCTCGCCTCCAGACACGCCGCGCAAACCCAGGCTCGGCATCTTGCCGTATTTCCCATTATTGTTGACACACAAACACAGTTCTGCTAATCCGCTTGGTACACAGAACTCATTAAAGTTTAGGCAGGATTAGTAAAGTAGTGTGGCTGGGAAAGCCAGACATGTCTGCAGACTGCATGCCGGCGCTGAGACCCTGCACAGCCAACAAACCTTTAAGGTGTACATACGGGATGAACGGGACCCAACAATACTATCAACGGGAATTCAGTTTATTAATCCTCAAATCCGTTTGTTATGTGCCTGGGGAGGTTATGGATTGCAAGGTGCACACTGTACAGAGGATCTCAGCTTCTGCCCGACTCTCTGGGGTCTATTTATAACGGACCCTGCGAATATCTGTAAATGTTCATTTTGGGTGATTCATTTTTTCACAGTTTGAATGTAGTGTCGTAGTAATAGGAGCTGAGGAGTAAGGAAGTAAGTATTCATATATACACTGAGTGGCCAGATTATTATGACCACCCCATCAGTACTTATTGTTTTGCTGATACTTGCTCCATGGCTCCGAGCGCCAACAATCATCCCACGTTCAAAGGCTGTTAAATCGCGTTGTTTACCCTCTTCAGAAAAAAAATCACTTATATAAATAAACTCTCCTATGCTCCTCATCACCGTCTAGTGGCCATAATGTCATAATGTATTATTACAACACACTACATTCAAACGGAGATTAAAATACACTGCCTGTCCAAACTAAAGGTCACACACGCTAACATTTCATTGGACCGCCTTTAGCTTTGATTTCATCCCACATTCGCCGTGGCACTGTTTCAACAAGCTTATGCAATGTCACAACATTTATTTCCATCCAGAGTTGCATTAATATTTCTACAAGATTTGTAGTGACGATGGGAGAGCCAGACCACTTTGTAAAGTCTTCTCCAGCACATCACAAAGATTCTCAATACCCTGTGGTGGCCAATCCATGTGTGAAAATTATGTCTCATGCTTCCTGAACCTGGCTTTCACAATTTGAGCCTGGTGAATCCTGGAATTGTCATCCTGGAATATGCCCAATGTGCCATCAGGGAAGAAAAAAAAATGTAGGCAGCTGACCTCATTTTTTGGGGACATAACCTTGCTGAACCTAGATCTATTATCCAATGGAAGGCTCTTATCTATTTGCTTAGCTAAATCCAGGTGGTGACATTTTTTGGACAGACCGTTTATATTAAGTTTTGGGCATTATTTCGCCAAAATGAACATTGACAGCTTTTCATAGAGTGAAGGAACCTGCAAATTGTTTATAACTAAAATCATGTAGATATCCCACCACACACCTGACCGATGTACCCTTTGTTCTGCGGTGCTGAAGTAACTGGCGGATTGCAGAGCATGGATCCAAGAAGCAAATGTTACAAGCACACCAATTGATCTTCATTCAATAACGCCTTCATTGATGTTCATTCATCATATCAAAAAAGTGATGTTTTGAGCCCCCACAGGGTCCCTTTATCAGGTGTAATGTAAAGTAAGTGCATTATAATGTGGCCGGATCACCAGCATAGAAATATAAAACTAATGCAGCCACCACATCTAAGGATTGCTAAGCTGCAATATAGTGTGTGTGTGTGTGTGTGTATCTATACAGATATCTATCTATCTGTCTATCCATCCATCCATCCATCCATCCATCCATCCATCCATCTATCTATCTACTATAACTATTATATTGGTCACTGTTACATTGTACTTATGCTGCCTTTGTTTCTGCAACCAACTTCAAAGGTGTAACTGCATTTTAACGGGTTAACAAGTGAGTGTGGCAATCCATGAGTGTGGCAATCTGATGGTCGCGGATGTGCTGCACAGCTGTGTTCCGGTGCAGAGATGCTGACACCACTGTGCGTCATAAGCCCGGCACACGTGTCACTGTGTATGTGACTTGCATTCTTCATAAACTTAGAAGATAAGCTGCAACAGTTTGACTGTACTGTTAACCCCGTGTGTGTCAGATCATTGCACACAGGATGCTATATAATCTGAAAACCGAAAGCTGGTGATTTCCTTTTTTTAAATAAAACCATTAACGGGCAGTCTTTGCGAGGTAAGGCTAAGGCTAAACATGAACAAAGTTATGCCAAGCCTGTCAAACATGGGGGCTATTTCACAACCCAGTTTTTCATATTTAAAAAAAATCCAATAACACTCAACTTCCCTGCACTCCCCTACAGCTCAGTTACTCCATTGTAGAGTTGTGACACTGTTCATTGGCTGCTCAGGCCCATGTACTGCATCCTGGGAGGAGCTCCCCTATAGCTCACCCACCAAATAACACTCAACTTCCCTGTGTTCCGCTACAGCTCACCCACCCAATAACACCCAACTTCCCTGCGCTACCCTATAGTTCACTCACCCAATGACACTCAACTTCCCAGTGTTCCCCTAGTGCTCACCCACCCAATATCACTCAACTTCCCCGTGCTCCGCTACAGCTCACCCACCCAATAACACCCAACTTCCCTGCGCTACCCTACAGCTCACCCACCCAATAACACCCAACTTCCCAGTGTTCCCCTAGTGCTCACCCACCCAATGACATTCAACTTACATAGTTACATAGTTACATAGTATTTGAGGTTGAATAAAGACATTAGTCCATCAAGTCCAACATAGACAGACAGACAGACAGACAGACAGATAGATAGATATCTGTATAACTTCCCGTGCTCCGCTACAGCTCACCCACCCAATAACACCCGACTTCCCTGCGCTACCCTATAGTTCACCCACCCAATGACACTCAACTTCCCTGCGCTCCCCTACTGCTCACCCACCCAATGACACCCAACTCCTTGCGTTCCCCCGTTCCTGTTACAGACGATACCTTTATCTTGTGTTGGCCCAAGCTGGCACGTTTGGCTCTTCAGTGTCCGTCGTCGTGCGCTAGTGTCAAGCCGGATATCACGTGTCAGTATGGAGATCTGGAGACAGAGACGTGTTAATAGGTTTAGGTAAACTCCTGTACATTCACATATCCCGTTTAGTGCTAGTGAATCCTGTAAGGTGTCACATGGCCAGCTGCTATGGGATTAAGGACACTGTGAGTGTTCAACAGATAATGATGTATAATGGATTCCCATGCCTTAAGCACGGGTTTGTTGGTAAGTAATTCGCTAATGAGCCTCAGGAAGTGTCAAACCTGCTCAGCAATCCAAAACAGGAGATTAGAGCTAGCGGCTAAGCCCCCACCCCCAGTTCATGCAGGCCAAAAGCAGCAAGCAAAATATACTTAAAGAGAACCCGTCAGTTATAATAAACTTGTAAAAGATCTTCCTAAGACCTTGCACACATAGGTTTTTGTTAAAGTGACATTAAAATAAAAAATTATCTCCCCACCCCCCAATGCTGGTGTATACACTTACCTTAAATAATGCCTCTTGATCCGATCATCTTCTTTCCTGTAGTTTTCAACAGTCCCTCAAGCGCTGGTGCCGGTCTCTGATCCAACGCTGACTGCTGCGTCTTATGTGTCCCACAGAGTCTGCATTGACTTACCCGACTGAAGATCTGAACTGCGCATGCGCCTGCCCCATGATTCTTTGCGGCCGACCGAGAATCTTCAGATCTGCGGACGGTAGCGCGCAGCGGAAACACAGGTAAGTTTAAACCTTTTTTGTAATTTTGTTTATGTTTTTGCATAGATCTACTGCTTGCTAGCAGTAGATCTATGCAAAAAAAACAGGAGGGTTTAAATACCCTTTAACATAAGAGCAGTGCATACAGCAAACTTTTACAAAGCATTTCCAAAACTTTCAGCCATCTTCCAGTAACTTTGTTAAAGCCTTTATGGCATCCTTTGGTTAAAGTGACAGCATGCTCAATAAGAGCTGTTTAACATCCCCTTACTGGAACTGAAGTTTGCTTTAGAAACGTTAAAAAGCTGCTTAACCACTTGAAGAGCGGGGTGTTAAACCTCCTTCCTGTCCAGGCCATTTTTCAGTTTTCAGCGCTTAAGTACTTTGTATGACATTTATTCAGACATGCAATGCCCCACCTAAACAAATTTTATATCATTTGTGGGGACAGATAGAGCTTTAATTTGGTGCTATTTAAGCACCACTGGGTTTTTGAAAAAAAACTTTTTACTATATATATAAAAAAGTACAGAAACGTTTGGAAAAAAAACTGTTTCCCCTACGTTATGTTAAGAAACATTTATTATTAGCCAGTTTTTTGGTAAATAGACACCAAACGTGTCAAGCCTTAAAATTGCACACTCCAGCCAAATCTCAAAAAACTACCATGCCCAAAATTGGCCATAGGCAGCGCTTTAACTGCTAACAATTTACAGGGTTATTCACAAAAGGGTGAAGAGTTTGGAGAAGGCAGGAGAAGTAGTCAATCTAGGACAACATAGCTGATTTGGAAATATTCTCCAACTCTGCTCACTTTCCAGCTCAGCTATGTTGTTCTAGATTGTTCACTTGTCCAGCCTTCTCCAAACTCTTCACCCTTTTGTGAATAGACCTGTTAGTGTTAACAGTGATTGATGGCCCTACAATTATTACTCAGACTCCAACATTCGCAGTGGTATGTAACTAGCTTGTCCCCAAGAGGTAAGGTCTCTGCACCCAACATCTCCATGACCAGTAGCTGCTTTAAAGAGAATGGTTAGTCTCTGTCAGGTGTTTTGCCAACTGTGTCCCTACTGGGGACATTTTTCCTCACTGTCAGCATAGATTTGATAGGAAATATCTCCAATGAGGGCATAGACAAAAGCAAAAACAAGTTTAGTAGAGAGAAAAAAAGCTTGAAGCTTCTGACAATGTTTTTATTTCTACCTGGGCCAGGTGACACCTGCATTCTCTAATTCGTGTACGGGTGTCACAGGGAAAGAAAGTGAAGGTAAATCCCCTGAATCCCCTACAGTCTTTTTGTACCCCCTTCCTGTCCACATGCACTTGATCCAGAGGAGGCTACATGCATGTTTCCTAATGGTGACAACATGCATAAGGGGTGTTGAAACAACCCCTAGTAGATCGGTCAGAACATGATAAAGCACAATGGCTCCGGTGAGGCTGCTCTTAACAAAAATGTGATGTCCCTCAAACAAGGAAACCTAGAATCAAACGGCTCTATGATCTCTACAATTAAGCCCATGAATTGGGTGGAACGCGTCATGGGGGGTGGACCCCGGGGGGCGGCCCACCAGTGATGTGGTACAAGTTTCAATAAACTATCCCAGTGGAATCTGGTGTGCGGCCAGCTTTTCTTCTGTTTGTATGGGCTCATATTGGAGCGAGGACGTGCTCCCAGCAGCAAGCACCCATCTCATTCCTTTACTGAGCCATGGAGAGGCGGTGCTTCTTTTGTTCGGTAACCCAGAATTGAAGATACATGTATATAAAGTCCATTGAGAGCGCCAAACAAGACAATACGAGAGTCCAAAAACTGGGTTCACAAACAATAACAACAGCGAACAGCTAACGTATTTCAGGGGCTCAAAGACTTCCCCCTTCTTCAGGGCTTAAACATAATGGGTAGTTATATAGGTTCTAAGTGGCATAAATCAGCAAGGTTTCATTATTTGTTATGTAGGATATAGCTAAAATCAGTGAATCAGCAAAAATCAGTGAACTGAATCAGCTGTTTACAATTTACACAGCGCTTTACATACGGCACAATCACATCAGTCCCTGCCCTGGAGGAGCTTACAATCTAAGGTCCCTATTGCACAGGAATACAGGGCCAATTCAGACCGGAGCCAATTAACCTACTAGCATGTCTTTGGAAGAGCATGTTGATTGCTTGCAGAGGAAACCCACACAAGCACAGGAAGAACATGCCGATTGCTTGCAGAGAGTGTCCTGACCGGGTGCTGAAAAGCAGAAGTGCTAACCACTGAGCCACTGTGTTTCTCATTACGTTTACGCCCAGAAGAAGAGGGTGGTCTTTGAGCGTCCAAAATGCGTTGCCGTTTGTGAACCTTTTCTAATAAAGGTTTTTGGACTCTGGCATTGTCTTGTTTGGCGCTCTCATTGGACTTTATATGTGCAGCTAATGTATGGCTGCTTGAATACTTGAATGGTGACTTCAGCTATATGGCTGACAATTTTCTGCCCGCCTCTTTCAAATTGTTTAACAAAATTTGTTTAGATGAGTTTGGCCAACCTGGCCACTCACAACACGAACGTTAGCCAATTTACAGGAATGGGCCAAAATTCGAGCCATGTATGGCCAGCTTGAGTGTCAAATCAGAGGGGAAACTGAGCTGATTTTACCCCTGTGCATAATTTTAATTTCTCTAGATCTACAGGAAAATTCCCCCTTGTCTCACATGAGAAGGAAATGTTAATGCCGATACTTAAAACAGATGGGTAAAAACGCACGGCACTTGTCATCCTGTCACATGTCCATTACCGCATTCCCAGGAGTTAAAAAATGTAATAGCTTCATGTACAAGGCAGACAAAAAAGAGAGCTAAGCATTTTTTATTAAAAAAAATACTGTTCCTATATTAATACATATTTTTATGCAATAATGTCCCATGAGCATTAGCGCACACTGGCGCCGCTGTGCATTAATCACACAGGTACCAAGCCATGACAGAAAGAGATATTTATTGCAAATAAAATATACTGAGCTGTACAAAACCTGGTGGCCTTTTCGATGCAGATTCTTCATTTTTTATTTTATCCAGGACGACCAAAAATATCACCATACGCCTTGTACTTTCAAGATAGCTATTCTGGGCAAAAGTCTCATGGTAGCATCCGAAAAAGCTGTGCTGTCTGTATGGTATCCCAGATTGCAGCCAAATTTGCTAGCACTGTGTTAACTCTTTCGATGTACTCCGTTTACAAAAGAAAGGCCCAGGCTTTTATAAAATGGAAAGTGCAGTATATTTCTAGTGAACATATGATTTGAGCTATTATTGCAGAGCTTACTTTTATTTATAACTAGGGAAGCACCAATACTGATACTAGTATTGGTATCGGTGCCGATACCGAGTATTTGGCCGAGTACGAGTACTTGCCCAAATGCTCCAGATGCCTTTCCCTATACTTCCGCTATGTGTAATGACTCGCCGCCCAGCTTCCTGATTGGTCGGGAAGCTGGCTATACAGGAACCTGGACGGCGAGTCATTAGCCAAGCTGATCTGTATTATATGTACGTCTTTAAAAAAAAACATGGAAAAGTCTTTGTATGAAGAAGGACACGAGGAAAAAGACAAAATTCAATAATAAATAGCTGAGCTACATGTTTTTTGGGCCCACCATCTACTAGGAAAGCTATTGACTGACCAACTAAAGTTTCAAAGGTTGATTTCAATACCAGGTTATTTGTGCTCGTTCAGGACAATGCTAGTTATTAAAGATTGTGGTTCAAATCTAGAACAGAGACAAATCCTTATTCTGCCATAATTCCATAATTAGTACTCACAACAGAGCAGTTATGTAAGTGAGCGCAGGTTTATTTAAAGTGGGCCTGAACTCAAAATGTGAACATTTGTTATGTTATGGGGAACATTTACCAATGTTAATTGTGCCTAAATAGATCCCTGAAAAATTTACTTTTTGCATGTGTAATTCCTGGTATGAGAGGCTGCCTAGGCACTCCAGTGCCTTCAGCCTCATAGCTGTATATGTGCAATATGAGATCTAAGGTAGTGCTGCCTCTGAGTACTAGTCTTAGCAGATTTGGTGAAGTCTCTACAGTGCTGCTCATTGTTCACCTTGCTGGAGGCTCGGACATAAGGAAGCAAAGCCCTGCCACTACCAAGATGGCCGTCTCTGCACAAAGACACAGAAAAAGGCATGGTAAGTCAAGAAATCAAGATCCGCTGCAAGGAGACCAGGAAATGCCAGTGACTAGTTCTTTGCCCACTCCCTGCCTTCTTTTGTGCACAGCTTCCAGAGATCAGTTCCTCTTTAACATGCCTTCCTCCACAGTGAACACAGGTGCACATGGCTGCTTTAACTATAGTAAGAATGTGGGAGTTGCTCCGGCCCCACCACCAGACCCCCAACAGTGCCAGACTGATAGGGAGAGGGACTTATGTGGGGCATAGCAGGCTATGTCCCCAGGAATTCAGGCCTGTTAGGAGATTGAGGATTCTGGTGGTTGTTCTAGGAAATGGAAGACAACTCCCAGTATTTGCCCTGACCCAGCCCAGTTATTACAACGGTGTGTACATTACAGGTACTCTTTAAATCAATGTAACCTCAAAACAGCCAAAGCCAAAATATTCTGCTGACCTGATGCAGTGGAAGGAGACTGAGTATGGAAATAATGATGTACTCTACCTTTTCCTTCTCCAGAACAAGAGACAGGTGATCGGAGATGAGGCCCTCAGGGAAGAAACATTTAATGTCTTGGACAGCAGCCTGGTAAGAAGTGGAACCTGCAGAACATGGGAAGGTGGTGTAAAGAATGGAACAAAGGCCTAATGGACAACTATGCATATTCCATATAAAGACAGCTGAGATGAATCTTTAACAACCCAATAATAATGAACCCTGAATTCATATTTACTATTATAAAATACAGCTTATGAACTATCAGTATAAAATGCCTGCTATTCTCTTTATTAGCCAGAAAAACATTTTGTGCCCCTCTCTGATATCGTTTTATTTTATTCCTGGGTTTACATTTAGGTAAGTTCATTGTAACAGTGCAAGGGTTAGAAAAAATTATATAAAACATAAATGTAAGTATGTTTAGTTATTTAGAAACATAAGGACATTATTACAAAACAGTTCAAGTAGAATTGAAGCCACTTTGTTTGTCCTCTGGGGACATTTTCTTTCACTTCCTGTCCGAAAGTGGCTGGAAATTCCTGGTCAGAACTAATGTCCCCACTGGAAGATTTCCCATCTATTCCTCTATTCTAAACCCAAAATTTGGGATTTTTTTTCTTACTTTCAGTGATAACAGTCACCAGGACATATAGAGAAGGTCAATCTCCCTAATAAGAACACAGACAGCAACTTGGCAGGTTCTAATCCCTCCCCACTCCATCCAAAACTATAAAAAAAAAAGTATTGGCTTCAGTTACACTCTAAGTACAATTAAGGGGTACTGCTAATAAATATACAAAAGTCACAGACTACCAGAAATAGCACCCAGGATAAAAAGTTATTTAAAGCAAACCTGTACTGTGTGCATGCATGGCAAAGCAACATGTTTGCTTTAATACCCATCTCCCCAGCAGCACATACCTTACCTTGGCTCCAAAAATGCTCCATTTAGCTGCCATGGCTTGCTCCTTTAACGTAACAGCTCTTGTGCTTGGTGATTGGCCCAGCACTGTCACATAGGGCGGGAAGATCATCCTCAACCCTAATCCAAATAGAGCAGCAAGCTTAAGAAGGGCTCCTGTCCTTACTCCAAGTAGCTGAACAGAGCAATGGGGAAGTGAAGGAAGATCCATATGTGCTGCTGGGGAGGGGAGCATTGGTTTACTTCAAGGGCTCATTCACACACCAGACACATTTCCATGTATGTGGCTTCATTTTGCAACACAGATAAAATGAATAGACAAAAATGTGCTGATTGGTTGCCGTGCACAGCTGCTCCAGATTTTGTCTGCTCCAGTTTTTATAAATTCCCTCCACTGTATTTCTGGATAGATTACCCCGCCAGTGTTTCTGAGTTGTGAGATGAAACTGTAGCAAGCAAGAGGAGATAAAGCAAATAGTAGATGGTCGGAAGTGAATCCTGGACCTAAATACTGAAAGACAGCAGCACTAACAAACTTACTGCCCATATCTTAAGGTCTCATTCACACGAGAAATTTATACCTGTGATTTATACGCTGCAGCCTGTCCTTCTCTATGGGAGTACGCGGTCATACGCCCCCCACCTGCACGTCCGTACGGGTGCGGGTGCCCCGGCTCGGACGCAGACAGGATCCATCCTGTCAGCGTACGAGTACGGACATCCGCACCCGTACGGACGTGCAGGCCGGGTGAGCGTAGGACGGCTTACGGCCGTGTACTCCCATAGAGATGGACAGGCTGCTGTGTATAATCACACGCAGCAACTGTCCTTCCCGGGAGCTGCCCGATATGGCTGTGCACTCAGCACAGATCTGTATGGGCCAGCCGTTACCCGTGTGAATGAGGCCTAAAGGTGAGTTGCAACTGTGGCTAATATTTAATATTTAAAGAGGAACATTACCCACCAAACTGATGTTTCCCTAGACAGTTACTTTTAAGGCATGCCAACCGTCATGGTGCCATAGCTGTTCATATGTGCAGCACCATGGAAACTGCAACCCAAATAGAGGCTAAGATCAGATCTTTTCCCCAATAGTTCTCCTAAGGGTAACGAGAGGACACAATCTAGCATCCTGTCGTCACCCAAAGCTCAGTATACCGCGAGTTACAGCTCACGGTATACTGAGACGCCGCAGCCGGGACAGATTGCGACTTTACTGTCGAGATCCACCCAGCTGCAGGATTGACAACTGGCTCTGCCTATCTGGCAGAGCCAGCTGTACCCGACCCCTCCCCGTCTGTTCTGCCAGTCAGCGCTGGAGGATCGGACAGGGGAGGGGGGGAATCCCTGCAGGGAGCCGTGAGTGACAGTCACGGCTCTCTGCAGGGACAGAATCAAGAAGTGAGAGAGCTACGGTATGTGTTCGCTCACTTCCCGATCTATTGAGCCGACCTGTGACAGTCTCATTGTCACAGGTCGGCTAGAACAATGAGGCTGAGTGATTTTCACTCGCCTCATAGTTCTCCTTTAAGGTCTGGGCTGGGTTTCTGATATCCTGCAGAGACTCCATTAATGAGATTATCCCACTGTCCGTCCAACAAACCTATACTAACCAATAACTTAGTAAGCTGCTTGAATCACAAACAAAAAGACAAATGGTAGTTTCACGGTCCTAATTGCTGTAATTCTCTCCTGCATCTATAAAAAGCATAATCGTGGACACAGTCCAAAGGACAGTAGGTAATAAACTCATGGATCAGCTAAAAGTCAAGGGTCAGCTACAGTGAAGCGTTAGGCATGGGGATCAAGTTGCATTAAACACAAGGATCATTAGAATCGGGAAGCGGTCACAGAGATCTATACAGATGGCGAAAAATAAAATCCTAATTTAACACATGGACCTAGTACATAATAGCTGACCACAGCAATCATATAAAGTAATGTAACAATATGGAGAAGAGAGACAGGAAAAGCATCTATAATTGAAACCCTTCTTACTGAGGTTTTCCAGTAAGTAGGAAAGATGGACTGACAATTCACTTAATGGCTCCCATCTGCTGTCATTTTCTGGGCTTCATTGGTTCATCAGATGTGTGAAATGTGCAGCGCTTTCCCCTCAAAGAAGATGCTAAGCTTATTATTCACTGGGTGACAGTAAAAGTGAGCTATCAGTTTAAAGACAATTTATAGCGCTTTATTTTTTAAGGCAATATGTGAATGTCCTCCGATTACTGTAAATAATACTATCAACATGATAATAAAGCTGAACTCCAGCCTTATATTTTCCCCACACTTGTAGCAAGTCCTCTCCAGTATTGAAACTAAATACTCCCAAATCCCTGTAAATTTGCATCTCCACACAGGTGTGTAACTAGAAATCATAGGGCCCCATAGCAACATTTTGTATGGGGCCCTGTGATTTCTAGTTATGTCCCTTGCACAGCCCACCTGAGATCTCAAACAGCTCACCTGAGAGTGACCCTGCAGAGCCCACCATAGACCCTATGGTGGGCTCTGCAGGGTCTCAGGTGGGCTGGTCACACCCCTGCACATCACTTACCTGTCAGCCCCGATCCCTTGTCCGCCTCCTCCTTCTGCACAGGGCCCCACCTCCTCTTCCATCACTGGGCCCTATCTCCTCTTCCGTCGCCGCGCCCCGCCTCCTCCTCCCCTGCCGACGCCGGGCCCAGCATCCTCCGCCGCAGCTGCTGGCTGTCACTGACACAGCAGCGGCTGTGAGGAGGAATGCGCCACTGCAGAGATCACCGACATGTTGTCAGTGATCTACCAACGACACGTTCCTCCTCACACCCGCCAGTGACAGCCAGCAGCTTGAGATGCCATAACGACCCAGGCGGCCCACGCGGCATCAGGGGGATGTCGTGGCCGGGCCCCCCTGTGCCACATAGCGACCGCCTGGGTGGCTATGGCGATTGGTACGCCACTGTCTCCACAATACAACCCTTTGAAGTTGCTATGCTGAGCCCACCTTTATTTCCTGTCTAAACGACCTCCAGCATTTATCAATCACTTTTTCCCCTGATCCATACTGTTGTCCCCCCCCCTTCTCACAGCTATTGGCTTTCCCTGTCATCAATCATTTTGTTCCTGAGTTTTATGTGAAAGAACTGTAGAAACGAGGTGCAAAAAAGTCACAGCATTAGTTACCGGTATTACCCATGGTCTCCCTGCAGCTGATCTTTTCCCTATTACTGACCTACCATGTCTTACTGCACTGTGTTTCTGTGTGTAGACAGCCATCTTGGTAGAGAGAGGGCTTTACTTTATCATGTCAGAGCTGCCCCCTGACCGCTGGTGACTTGATGACTTACAGGGGGATAATAAAGAAGCACAAGTCAGAAGGAAGAGTTAGTTTTTAGACATGAAAAGTAAAACCTAACCTCTATAACACCTTTATATGGAAAATTATTTATTCAGCCAATGTATTTTTTTATTAAAGTGTAAATTATTACTTAGCAGTGACACTGCTTTAGTGATACCGTTTTAAAAAGTGGGAAAAATAACCTTTAAACATGGAGGATGTGCTTAAAAACGTGCAAAAACATGGAAGTAATGCAGCGTAGCATCTTCCAGATTTATTATTCACAGACTCCTCATATGGAATGCAAGTAGCATCACTATAAGGATGAACTTATAAATGGCCAGGTTAATGGAAGGGTTCTCAGAACCATATTTTCTCCAACACACCCTAAGGAAGTGAGCAATGTTATGGCTGTCATCTACGATGACCTCTAAATGGGCTTATTATTTATTTATAACAGGTATTTATATAGTGCTGACAGTTTACGCAGCACTTTACATAGTGGACATTCACATCAGTCCCTGCCCTCCAGGAGATTACAATCTAAGGTCCCTATCCTCATATGCATACATAGTAGGCAGGACCGGATTTATTCTCTGCTGCCTCAAGGCCAGGTTCCTCAATGGCAAACAGATAGCGGGGGCGGCAGGGGTAGTTTTACATTTTTTTACATTTTTAAACCTTTTTATGCCTTTTTTTAAATATTTTTTTTTACTATTCTAAATCTTTATTTATCTTATTATTTTTTACTTTTTGACCTGCAGACTTGCATACAAGTAATCTCAGCGATCTCAATTACCCTGCTCTACATTTAGCCCTGCTTGTCCGAAGCAGGGCTAAATGTAGAAAAAAAACTACCCACCCGTGTGTTGGCCGATAGGATATCCACACCCCTGCTGCCCCTCTACACCCTGCTGCCCCGAGGCCGGGCCATGGTGGCCTTGTGGGAAATCCGGCCCTGATAGTAGGGCCAATTTAGACAGGAGCCAATTAACCTACCAGCATGTCTTAGGAGTGTGGAAGGAAACCCACAAAAGCTCAAGTAGAACATGCAAACTCCATGCAGATAGTGTCCTGATCGAGACACTTATTTATTATTATGGCTTATTTTTATTAATAAAAATGTTGACAGTAACAGAAAGTATTTAAACCTGCAATCTCCAGGTATGTATCTACTTTGCTTATTCCCCTTGAATCAAGTCTACTACCGGAGCCAAGGACAAAGGTTTTATGGATATTGGTTGTTTTTTTATGGGTTACTGTGGGACCAGTATGGGACAGGGGGAAACGCTTTCTTTTTTAGTACATTTGTAAAATAAAAAGTGAAAGGTGATAAAGTTCAGATACAGTAACATGCCTAAGGTCCCTGACTTACATATAGTCAGCATTCTGTATACCACTCAGTCAGCTGAATTTGCTGCAGGCCACCTGCATGACTGCAGTGAAGCAGCCAGGGCTGTATTAAGAATACACTGCTAGGAATACCAGAGTGAATTACACTGCACATGGGCATGCATATGTGTATCACTGATGTAAGATGGGTCATTCACAACCCATGGTATTGCGACAAGGTGAATAGATAAATATGTTTGGTTCGATTTGATATTGAGTTTTCGTATAAGACCAGGAAAGGAGATAGTCCTCATCAAACAAAAGTTTTTACCCACATGACCCCTGTAAGACAAGTGAGAGAAGGCTGACCGCACATGTTAAAGCAACGTGCCCACATACCATACATCCCATTGTGCACAACACTGGTACCATACTGGGCTCTCCACAGGAACTGGTCTTTATCTTTACACATATGTGGATCTTCGGGACCCAGGAGGTCCAGGAGTTTGAGAACTGCATTGATTCTCTGCAGGCAGAGGACCAGGCAGGGGGCCAAGGTAAGGTAGTCACTGTGTGCCTGGCGGGAAGCTTCATCCTACAAGAAGAACACATGACAATGAGAGAAAATCTAAACTGTTGTATTAGGTAGAAAAACCACATAATAACAATAGTAAAAATGCACTCAGTTCCCGATAGTTGCTACAAAAAGACAGTTCTATGGATGGTAAGTAAGCGTTCAGAGTGTTAAAGGAGAACTGTGAGGTGAGTGCTTTTCACTCACCTCATAGTTCCAGCCGACCTGTGACAATGAGACTGTCACAGGTCGGCTCAGTAGATCAAGAGGTGAGCGAACACATGCCGGTGTTCGCTCACTTCTCGATCCTGTCACGGCTCTCTGCCGTGACAGGGGAGGGGATGGATTCCCCCCTCCCCGCTCCTATCCGCCAGCGCTGACTGGCGGAACAGTCGGGGGAGGGGGCGGGTACAGCTGGCTCTGCCTCTAGATAGGCAGAGCCAGCTGTAAATCACGCAGCTGGGCGGATCTCGACATCGAAGCCCGGGATCCACTCCGGCTGCGGCGTCTCAGTATGCCGCAAGCTGTAGCTTGCGGTATACTGAGCTTAGGTTGACGGGAGGACGCTAGTTTGTGTCCTCCTGTTACCCTAAGGAGAACTATGGGGAAAAGCCCTGACCCCATAGTTCTCCTTTAAGGATGAAAGGTAGAATTTTAGAAAGTGTAAGTGATCCTGTTCAGATACACATAGCCCACCATACTGATCCATTTTCAGCAAAGGGAATTAGGCATCCGACATGCTGAAGAGTCTTACATGGTGTGTAAAATACCCTTGCAGCACTTGTAATGGTTATAACCTGGTATACTGTATATGTCCGATTCCCTTTACCTGCTTGGCTTCTGCGGGCATGATGTGTAAAGACTCTTCTTTGGTCAGGTTCACCAGCTTTAACCCCACCAGGACAAACTTCTGTATGTTGACTTTACGCAGTATCTTTCCCAGGTTGCTGCTCCAGGATCCAGGTTTTAGAATAAGGACTGTGTAAAGCAATGGAGGACCTAAAGGAAAGTATGTAAAAGTAATAAAAGTCTACTTTACACTTCAAAAGCATATGAACACTTATCTAAAGCTAAACTCCAGTTCTGTTGAGAAAAAAAAAATCCAAGTCAATTATGTCTTACAACAGTGGTTCTCAACCTGTATAACCTCAGGACCCACATTTGTCCTTGATCATTAAGTCGCGACCCAAGTCGCACCACACTGGAATGCACGGCAATGCAGTACCACATGTTCAGGTGCAATCAATCAAACTGTGGGCAGGAGGTGTGTTTCGGGTGCCATTTAAATAAATTACAATGCAGCCCACCTCCAGCACTTTCCCCACCAGAATGAACAGTAGGTGCAATTGCGTGGTAGTTTGCGATTAAAACACTGACAGACACACACAACCACGGACACATTCTCACACACTCGGAGACATTCTCACACACACATACATACTCCCAAAAAAATGTAGGGGTTCAATGTGGGCTGCTGTGCTGTGACGGAGCTCCATCCATACGTGCATTGGTTGCACAGCTCACTTGCACTCCCTGTAGAGGTGTCGGAAGCCAGAATGTGATATCACTCTGGTCCAGGCACCTCTAAAGGGCATGCGAGGGAGCTGTAAGCAATGCACGTATGGATGGAGCTCCCTCGCGGCCATACTTCCAGCCCACCCCACCTCAAGCTGACACTCGGCGCCAAGCAAAATATTTTGAATGGCTCCTCCGCACGAGAACTGACAGTACTACACTATGGGGAAAGCTAAGGAGCCTCTCACCTAGTGCAGTGGAATGCTTGCCACGACACACTGAACTTGCTGTCGCGACCCACCAGTTGAGAACCACGGTCTTACAAGGATTTTAGCAAGCTTGATTACAGATTCTAACCTAATGTTGTGCAATTTTTTTAGACCTTACAATGTCCGTTCTCAAACTCACTGCTAACTGGAAGGGTTTGCTGTCATTATCACCAGCTGAGCAATGTCAAAAATATAAAATGCAACTTTGGCACCCTTTTAGGTGTACTAGAGTCCTAGAAAGTACATGTACAAAAAAAAAATATTAAACAGCTATCATGTCTGTGATCTCAAGCTCCCTGCAGACCTTGGAAAATAGTAAATCGATCACAGAAATACAGATTCTGGGGCTATTCTGTAAACAACAAATGTACAGAATGCACACAGGCTGCCATTTTGCAGTTAAGCAACATTTGGAACAATGTAAAAATGTCTGCTGGATTCTTGCTTTCAATGTCAGAAATCTAATCCTGCAGGCTGTCATAAGGACACATAGCTGGGTAGATCAATGCATTGACTTTCAGCAGTCAAATCTCTCCAGTTATGAACAACGAATGTGGCTAGAAGCTGAGCAGTGTCAACAACACAATTCATAAGCTTTGAACCCTAAGCAGGTATCTTTAGAAATATGATGATGCCAAAAAGACATCACAGAAGAACAGCATCTACTTAAAGGAGAACTATGGGGTTAGGGCTTTTCACCCATAGCTCTCCTAAGGGTGACAGGAGGACACAAACTAGCGTCCTCCCGTCACCCTAAGCTCAGTATACCACAAGCTACAGCTTGCGGTATACAGAGACGCTGCAGCCGGAACGGATCCCGACAATTATGTCTGGATCCACCCAGCTGCGTGAGTGACAGCTGGCTCTGCCTATCTAGAGGCAGAGCCAGCTGTACCCGTCCCCTCCCACGTCCATTCCGCCAGTCAAGTGACAGTCACGGCTCTCTGCAGGGATAGATCAAGAAGTGAGCGAGCGACGGTATGTGTACGCTCACTTCACGATCTACTGAGCCGACCTGTGACACTTTCATTGTCAGGCTCAGATTATGAGGCTGAGTGAAAATCACTCACCTCATAATTCTCCTTTAACATTAAGGATTTTTTGTAACAAACAATTGTAACAGTCTAAAGGGTTTCCATTAGTAGGAGAGGTGTTTGGCTAGAGATGTTAATATTTAGCCATTCACGGCAAGTATTGCTTGGCTAGCCAACGATATTGATTGATGGTGCCGTCCTGATCTAAAGCTAAATGTTAACATCTTTTTGTTAAAGAAGTGTTTGCTACATGGAATGTTGAAATTGCAACAGACTTCGGAAGTAATTACATATTAGAGAATTTGTTGCTTATTTCATTTCGGATTCTTTTTCAAATGTTTCGAAAATCTCTTTAACATACCCATGCTATTATCTATCCAATCACAGCTGTAACCATTTCGATCAACGTGTGGGGCCCATCCAGATGAATGATGTTTGCGGACAACGTTGTCAAAGCTTTTTAATGAAATTATGGCAAGTTGCATAATGATGGTACATTGTATTGATATTGTGTGAATAAACTTTTTTCTACTTTTATATGCTTGTCCCGGTCTTTTAAGTAACCTGTTTGGTTGGCAATCCTTGATGTTGCTAACAATACTGTTTTTTGTCATTTTCTGATGCAGGTCAAAAGTATAAAAGCAAGTGTCTGATTGGCTGTTTAGAGGGAATCAAGGTCAACATAAACACTACTATTTCTTTGGTAGTTTCTTCCGATCACAGGCAGTCTGAGATCACCATTACAACTTGCATTCCATAAGAAGATGCAGTGCAAGGAATTCTGGGAAACCCTACAGCAGGGATGTCCAAACTGCGGCCCTCCAGCTGTGGTGGAACTGCGAATCCCATGAGGCTTTGCAAGATTCTCACAGCCACAGACATGACTCCCGGAGAGAGATGCTTCATGGGATTTGTAGTTTCAGCACAGCTGGAAGGCCGGAGTTTGGACATCACTGCCATACAGGTTACATTTTGTGGAAGCCATCCTGTGTATACTCGGGAACCTCACCACTGTGTACTCACTTTCACATGAACTGCAAAAATGATATAAAAGATAAAAAAATACATCAAATAAATTCACAAATACAATTTACCCCCTAAGTTTTCAAATAATATTGTTTGTTCACACTTATATCTCCTATTTATTGCACCTGATGAGTATTTGTAGCACATATAATATAAAGTGTCTGACTTTACCTGACAGCATGTAAGTAAATATGGACTCGGTCTGTCCTCTCCAATCTTCTGCACCTGTCAGAAGAACAACAGATGCTGTTTCTGCAGTACAAGCATTTCATATATCATTCATACTCGTATGTCTCGCTCTGGAGTGTATGAAAACTCATTCCAAATGCATGGAAACAAGAAAGAGAAGATTGCTTAGTGCGCTGGTTTCCCAAGGTTAATATCAGTATTGTAACAGAATCTAAAAGAGACTAAATGTAAAATGTATCAGGACGCCAGAGAACAAACATGATCAGTGTAGTAACCCCATGGAGGAAAACAGAGACAATATGTAATCATATAAATGTAAAGAATCACGCACAACAGTGTCATAATCATAGAAGAGAATGGAGGCAGTGAGGTTGATTTACCATAGGAGGGACAAAGGAAGTCATTCACTTTGGGTTATACTGCTGCCAACAGGAGGACTGGACACTGGCAAATTAAAAAACTGTAGGTCAGTCCAGGACAGCCCCCTCCTACTATCAACATGCCTCAATTTAGTAGCAAAGCATTACCAAAAGCATGAGATCATAAACACTGAGGGGTGGGACCTGTGCCCCACAATGGACTCCAAAAAAAAAAAAGGATTTTATGAGTACAAAGATCCTGTTTTCTTCCTCATCTATTGAAGGACACAGGAAGTCTTAAAGTGACATTAAAGTCAAAAGTTTATTTACCTCCCCCCATGTTAATGTTAGCACTTACCTTAAATGATCTCTCTTATTCCGATCTTCTTCTTCTTTCTTGATGTTTTCATCTGTCCCTCCAGCGCTGCTGCGGCTCTCCAAACCAGCGCTGACTCCTCTCTGCTTGCAGGCACTTCTGATCCAGCGGTGTCTGCATGCGGGTGCACGCGTCCATAGACTTACCTTGCGTCCCTGCTCGTCTCCTGGCCGAGAATCTGCGCATGCGCCAGCCCCAAGATCCTTTGCGGCCGCACGAGCAGTTCCTGATTTTCGGCGCGGGAGCGCGCAGCTATAACTAGGTAAGTTTAAACCGCTGACAAAGCATGGGTACATAAAATGAACAAAAGGCCTCAGTCATGAAGGGGTTAAAGAAGTTCAACTAAGGGGTGGGCAACACAGCAAACAAACACTAACAGCTCCAAGGAAAACACAACAGAACTGGGGACCTCCAGGCAGCTCAAAGAGATGCCTGGAGGACATTATGCCCAAAGCTGGCATCATATAAGGCCGAAACATCCATAGAAGAACTTAGAGAATGCATGAACAAAAGACCAGATGACAGCCTTACAAATCTGAGAAGCAGTTGTCTGATGATGTAAAGCCCCAGAAAATCATAGAGGAGACTAAATGCAGTGCAAAAACCTTCCAGTTTAAAATGATATGTTTATGGTAACATCTCTAGGCTTACCTTTTGCCTTGTGGTAGATTCCAGGCGGAGCGCTGTATTTCAGAATCGGTCGACTTTGGGCATCTGAGGGATAATTTATTACCTATAAGTTGATGGCAGCTATAGAAATATTTATAGGAAGAGTCACAGCTGAGAAGACACAAGGTTGAAAGCTTATAGACATTATAAATGCTGTTCCGTTTATCATCATCAACTGGGCCTTTCTGTCAAAGTATGTAATGTAACAAGTTACAACTTTAGATGAAAGGCTGTACCTGTAATGTAGCACTACTGGAAAAACATGCATCTCTTTTTTAAGCAGTGCTAAAAAACAGGGAACACTGACCATCAGCCAGTTGTATAAGGTCATTCAGATCCAAAGAACCCCTTTACAATCATTTGTAAGAGAAAGTGTCTTTGTTGCCCACAGGAAGCAGTTTGCTTTAAAATGAAACTTTGTCCATGCAGGGCTAAGCAACAGGTTCGCTTTAACCTCCCCTCCCCAGCAGCACATACTTATCTGCCCTTTTCTCCACCTTCACTGCATTTGGTTGCTGGGAGTAGGAGAAGCTACCTTGTGTAAGGTATAATAGGTTCCAATTTCCATTCGCACTCCTACGGTCTTATAGTTCAAAAAAGGTATCTGTGTTACTCAAGGTGACCGCACGGATGGTGCCGTGCAAACACTAGCAGTAAATACAAGGATTTCACCAGCACACACTTAGAAACTGTATAAGTCGCTTTAGTTGTAGCTTACAGTGGGCTATAGACTCTCCCCATGATGCAATGAAGGTGCTTAGTGATTGTCCATCATTGTTACATTGAATGAGTCATATGCTCCTCCATACCCCGAAGTAACAGTATTTTCTTCGCTTTTGGCCATTGTGAAGAACAGACGAGTATGTGCAGCTGTGATGAGGGTATAAAAGAAAACAATGGAGCCCAGGTTTGCTTTCATTTTGCTTATTCCAATCTTGAAACAGCATACCTTACTAGCTGCTATGGGACTAACAGACAAATTCCTTTTTGAAAGAAGATGGAAAGGAACTGTAAAGAAGACAAATAGGTGCAACACAGGAAACACACGTAAAATAACTACCAGAAACCAAGTCCCTGTCTGTGAAAATCAGGACGGCTTGCCGAAAAGCGATCTCCGGGGTGGCAGACATGATGAGCTGGGACTGTATCTTCCCTTTGACCGGCTCAACATGTTTAATAGCCTGTGCCAAGGAGGTGAAGGCGTGAATTCGACGTAGGGCACACACCAGAGCCGGTTTGGAAGTCAGCTGCTCGATGCTGCTCTGCCATTTTCGATCTCCCAATTCATATGGGGTTATCTCTTTGGCCTGCAGCCGGCTTAGTCGTGGTAGCCACTTCAGCCCTAAAACTTCAAATCCTTCAAAGCCACAACCTGTTAAGAAAAAACAAAAACAAATTGTCCCACAATTTTTACATTTTGTTCGGGTGGCATTGTAGTACTATCATATTTAGAAGACTGAAATCAAAATGTAATATTCAGCAGTGGCCAAGTCCACCCAAAGGTTGGTGGGATTAATCACTCCCATTCTTATAAATCTTGCAGTGCAGCTGAATCTATCGCTGCTTGGTTCCCACAAGGCCATAACAGTCACTTTAGCATTGAGTTCTTCAATTATTTACTCTACATTATGGAGAATCTGTCAGGAGAAGGTGACAACATCATTTGACTTTGTTATGGCCACCAATGGAGTCCCTAACAGAAAGAAACCATATGCCTGTACCTAAAATATACATTTTTAAAGTGTATGTAAAAAACAAATTTTTGTTATTGTTTCTGGAAGAGTTAGGAAGGATTAGAAAATCTTTTTTAATGTCCTGCTAAGGAGATTTACCTTAGCTTCCTGTCTTGGGGATGCAACAGGCAGTAAGGGGAAATCTTCCCAACCTAAAGGGGAATTCCCATCTTAGACAGCTGTCACCAGAACATCTGGAAGATTTCCCCTCACCTTTTGTTCCTGTGAAAACTCTAAAATGTTAACATTTTCCTTACTTCTAGTAATTATTACAGTCTTCACCGGGACTTATAGAGAGGTGATTCTCTCCAATAGGAACAAAGGCCCCCCCAAAATCTTAGCAGAGGGTCTAACCCTTCTGCACTCTATCCACCACCACCAAAAAAAAAGGTGTGCATTTACATAGACTTCAAACCAATTTGAATTTGTTTTTACAGAATGTCTACTATGATTCCTTACATTAGAATGCATTCGGTCATGTCAGGTTTTGGATGCAGATCCAACCCGACTTTGATGTGAAGTTGACATACCATGACTTGAGCAATATGCGTTTCAGCTATGTATGTTTCTAGTCCTGCTGGCTGTGCTTGAGCAGCAAGGGTTTGTGTACATGAGCATTTGTTAGCTTCACAACTTCTTCCCCCCATAAGTCAATGGGAATGCAAAAGCAGCTCAGAAGGACATTTGTCTCTTAAGTGAAAAATAGAACTTAAAGCTGTACCTGCAAAGAAACTGTTATATACTTACCTGACCCGGTGCCCACAATGGTGAACTCTGCTCCACAGATGAGGAATCATCCCCACAGTCTACTGAGAAACGGACACTTCCAGGAGTGTTGATCTCCTGGGTCCTCCTGCTGTGCTCAGTAGTTCCTCCTACTGCCCTTCACTTGACTACATGACACATGTTCACTTTTTGAATACATTCAGAGATGAGACCACCTAGACAGAACTGGGTAGTGGACTTCATAAATTCAAAGCTGCTCAACCAAAGACTATGGACCTTAAGGTTTTAAGATGGACTGTCGAGCTGGGGCTTTTTTTCATTTAATAATGCTACCCTACTGTGCTTTATTAATGCAAGGGGCAGTGCTGTGCAGTTACCCATGGGGACCAATGACAATTAAGCTTCCATCTATAAATCTATACTAAAATCTAACCTCTGATTGGCTTCTTTGGGAGTCAAGGCACCACTTCTGCTTTTATTGTTAATAAATGTTAATAAATACAGCCTTTCTATAAAGGCAACCAAGCTAAATGATATATAACTATTCCTAGCAGCGGATAAATTCGGAAAATCCCTACCATGGGATTCTGCGCCCATTAGTTTAACTACAAATTAAAAACACTTAAACGAGAACTGCCGATGAACATGCCATTAGCTTACATCCTTGCTGGCTTCACTGGCACAGCCTAATTAAATATACACCTCAGCCTGGGATGTGGATGACACCGGTGGGGAAACCCATACAGAGCCGGAGTCCTATTTACGGAACTAACCAAAAATAGCTGACTGTAGGACTGGGAAGAGCTGACGGCAAGGCCTCGGGCTCTCTATGCCCATTAAGGTTGGTAAACCTAGGAGCTTGGAGCAAACATAGACACGGGGAGCTCATTTCATCGGCAGAGGACACTGGGAAAATCCTTTAGATAATTGTTCTACTCACAGGTGAGCACACAAGAAGATCCTATCCTATTTTTATGCCTGCTGGCTTTGGAGGAATGACCAGGATGTAGAAAAATAATATATTGTTTCTTTTATGTCACGACCCAGAGGTTCTTTAATGTTCTATCCTTGCATGCAAAAGCTTCCCCCGTGAAAATACAGAATGGAGAAAACACATTCTTACTGAGAAACTGCACTTCATTGTTTTATTAATAGATATTACCTAACCTTCATTAATTTATCATACGCGCCAACAAATCAACAGTTAATGAACGTGACTTTTAGAAGAGGGCTATTGAAAGAATGAGAAGAGGAATCAGAAAGTGTTCTTGTAAGCAATAAATAAAAGGGAGGTATGTGATGTGGGTGGGAGAAAATGAAGTGGCTGTGTATTGCTAAAGGGAATACATTTCTTAGAAATAAAACATATTCCTTTTGAAGAATGCGGCAGTATCAGCGGGTACACCAATGAGGTGAAGTGGCACTTGTAGTTCTGCAGATAGAGTAGGGGAGCCTTCTCAATTATTTTTCCCTGGAGGAACCCTTCAAATAGTTTCCAGGGTTCAGCAAACCTCTGCTAAATCTCTACAGCTCACGTGCATTGGCATGATCAGTAGGTTGTAGAGAGTTTTAAATGAAGAAATAAGCAATGTGGCATACCTAGACTATTTGACACCAGGACTGGATTATTTTTAACAGCCTTCTGATCTTTACAACAAATGATTGATCAGTAAAAATCATGAAAATAAATATTGGCTTGAAAAAATGCACTTTGAAAACTTTAGTGTACCTCAACACTAGTGGTCAGTGTAGTACCTCCATTACATTGGTGGTCAGTACGAGAAGCCCACTTACATTGGTGACCAGTGGAGAAATTGCTCCTAACATTGATGGTTAGTCTAATTGCCCCTTACTTTGTTGGTCAGTGGGAAATGGCCCCTTACAATGGTGGGCAGTGAAGAAATTCCTCCTAACATTGGTGGTCAATGGAATGCCCCCTTACATTGATTTTCAATGGGACATGGGCCCTCTTACATTAGTGGTCAAAGGAGACGTGTTCCCTTACACTGGTGAATAGTGGAGTGCATTCTTAAATTTTTGGTCAATGGGCATGTGCCCCTTAGTATTCGTATTAGTATTCGGCCCATTGGTATTCAATGGAGAAATGCCACCTTATAATGGTGGCTTGTGGAGTGCCCTCTAACATTTGTGGTCAGTTGGGAAATACACCCTCTTACAATAGTGGTCAGTGGAAATGTGGCTTACATTGGTAGTCAGTATAAGTGGGAGATCAATCTGCTAATGCTCACTGCTCAAGAAACCCCTAGAAACCTCTGAAAGAACCCTGGGGTTCCATAGAGCACCAGCTAAGAAAGGCTAGAACGGAGACACGAGTAGAGAATGATAATGCTAATAGTGCCACAAATATCACAGATAATCTAATAGGAAATGGTTGGATTTTCAGTTCCACAAATTGTGAGTAATCCAAAAAGACACGGTGCGGCTTGTAGCTCTGCAGGGACAGTAGAGAAGGCAGTGTGACTTGCTATTTTATGGAGACAGGCCACCGGGATGCGGTGTGTGAAGTAGGTTGCCAGACACAGAAGTGGTGACACTGGGGCATACACTAGTTCGTATCTTTATAAATAATATAAAGGGACATGCTGGAACTTCTAGTTTTGAAGAGATGAAAGAGAGGCCAGTGGCCTGTGTAAACAGCTCCTCCATCGGTCCCATATCATTGGCCCATCTGTGGCTCTAACTGCTGGTAGCCTGGTCCTGGTGACACCACATTTATTTGTCCACATTAGCACACTACCTGTGTCACATTCTCCTTAAATACTAGATGATGAAAGGGATTATGATGAAATGTCACAAACACCCTCTGTGGGTGGGTTCCATCTATGGTATCCTCCATGGAGGGGAGAAAGGGACAATAAACGGGAAGGGCTCACTGATTTCTCCCTGCTGTGTGTCATTGTTAGGAGTGCTGAGAAATCCTGGGATATGTATGTGTATCTATGTTACAGGCCAATGACATGGTGCATCCTCTTGTCACGCGTCC